TGCATTAGTTGCCCTTCTCCCACTTAGTACGGCGCATCTGGTCTGGCCCTGTCCTAGGATGCCTATGCCGCAGTGTAGGAGCGACCCGTGCACGCTTCAATCATGCTGGGCAAATAGATAAAATAAGAGCTTTCTTCCAGTAATATGCAAGCACACGTCTTGCGTGGCGCAAGATGACTGACCGGGCTGCGAGAGCCTGGCCTATCCGTGCTAGTAGCAGCTTCGAAGGCGGACACAAACTGTGCCGCACCAGACAGGCAGTGGAAGCGAATGGAAGCAAGTATGCAGGGGAGTGTGCCAAATCGTCACAAAACATACTGCCTGGTGCGATTCTTATAGCCGTGCACATGCTTCATTGAATGCATGTTGGCAGGACCTTTCAACATATTTTTTTCCTCGCACCATTCTTTGCTCTTTGGCCCTGACTGACCCGGCCTTCCTTCTCGCTTTCTCCTTGCAGTTTCTATTTCCACAACCAAAAAGTATACAGAATAGAAATTAAAAGATGAGTAGCAACAGCAGCAACACTAAGGCTGTCGCTGCGCTGGCGGAGGAGCTGAAACAAAAAGGCATGATGACGTTCAAAGAGGAATTTCCGGCCAAAATTGCACTTTTGACTTCGCTCTTGGAAAACGAGCTGCTGCGTTTAGAAAATGATGCGGTGCTTCCCCCAGAATCAGAGGTCACGCCAGTCATACCACCTATTTCAAGTAGTGAAGAGAAAGGAGAAACTTCGGCGGCAGGGGGCCGGAGAAAAAAGCGGAAAATGACAGAGACCCAGCAGGCAGCCGCTTCCGTCATACCCGCCGCGCATGTGGACGCTCCGTCACATTCGGACTCAGAGGAGGAATCGGAGGACGAAATTGGGCACCTAAATGGGCGTCACGGCCATGCACACTGGGACTACACGCATGACTTCGCCGTGCCTTGCAACAAGACTATCATGAAAGTGATCGAATTGCTTAGAAAGGAATGGAAAGAGGCGGTTGAGCTGGTTGGCTGCGTGAAACTGTGGATTCAACTGAGTATTCCCCCCATCGAATCGGGTGGTCAGTTCCACGTTGGGGTGCAGGAGGAGGTGATTCAGGAGCTGAATCGATTCGAGGACGTGGTACGAGGGTCGGCGCGAGGTGGGGGGTTAACAGGAAATATGCGCCTTGGACTTGGCGTGAATGTGCTCACATAGATTTTTTGAGCCTGATTTCCTCTCCCGACAACTCCCTCCAGGCGTATAACTACCTGGAGAGCCCTACCAAATACTTCCAGACGCGAGCCAAGTTGGGGGCGAAGCTGTCACGGCACCGGTCCGTGTACGACTACCGGCAGTCCCTACTCGAGGCAGACTCGCTCGAATACCTCAACCTGAAAATGGCGGCGACAGAGCTGCGAAACTCGGTGCGTACTTTGGTGGAGCAGCCAGGTGGAGCTGGAGGATTTCGGTGGTGGACTCGGGAACGACTCTAGGGCTTTGGCGTGTCTATGTGTGTGACAGGAGAGACGCCTTTCGGACGCGATTTGCTGGGTTGCGTGGCAGTGGAAAGTGTGCCAAGGCTCCATTAGATCGTACCCACTCTGGGCAACCCGATAGTCCCGCACTCAAGTCGCCCGCTGACCGTGCTTTTACCCTTGATTCCTTTACCCATCCCCACCCCCACCATGCGGCTCACAGTACTTGGTTGCCTACGATCTGCTTTCTAAGAACGAAGACAAACTCTCAATCAAGGACCAAAGCTTTGGCTCCCGCATGACCATTTGAAAGAGGTCCGATCGCGCGCAATTTCTTGGTGACGAGAAAGATCCCACGTTGTGCCATAAACAAATTAATCGCAAACTGAATCTCGCGACGGTTCGCAGCGGACACGGCACCACAATCATGGCGGTGTTGATCAGATTGGGCCTGGATTTGGCCCTGAAAAGCTCAAATTCTGGGGGCGCACAAGATGAAATTAAAGATAAAACCGCGATAGCATCAATTCGTTTTTTTTGTCTGTCGCTTAATGTGAGCCTTTGGCCTCCTATAAATCAGGCATTTGCTCATTTGCTCACTATTTTTCCTTCCTCCTTCAATTCCTCCTTCAACGTTCCAGCTCTATACTTATTCCTTCTCTCCCAGAGAGAAAGGCTTGTATCCACTTTCTTAATACGGAGGTCCTTCCTACGCCCCTCGCAGATCTCTTAAGGCTCGACCGACTACTTACACAGCCGTTTTCTCGTTGGCATCTCCCTCGTCTTCCAGGACACCTGCTTCCGGGCGAATCTTCTGGTAGATAGAGGGGAAAGCGCCCTCGCAATCGTACTTTTCACGCATCTTGTCATAGAGTGCGTGGTTGAACATGAGCCTGAACTCCTTCTCGTCCATAAAAGTGTCTGCGTACAGGCATTGGTAACTTGTGACACACAGAAAAAGGAAGGAAGGGATCGTGAGAAAAGAAGCTTGACGTTGGGCGTCAGGAATGGGGCATGGGGCTGATGAATCTAGGAGATGCAACCATCCTCAGGGATTTTTCTTACCCTCCTACATCCCGTGTGTACTTCTCCATGGCCCTAATGCGGGCCTTGGCATCCCAAGCTTCTTTTCGACGGACTTTGTCCGGAACTATAGGAGGAAGAGGAAGGCGGGCGAAGTCCGCGATAGGAAAGAGAATTCATCTTGGCAATCTTGGTACCCTCAACCCGCGACGACACAGTCTGAACTCACCTCCATAGACACCCAAGTCGAAGAACATTTGGCAGTTCTTGCCAGGAATCTTCTTTGTGGGATTGCGAAGGAAACCTTCATGAGCAGGCCCGTGGTCGAAGATAGCGATTGGGAAAATAAGAAGAGGATAGATCTCGAACCACTCGTGGAACAGGTTGATGGAATGTGCCATTTCGTCCACGGGGATGATGCTGGGAACAGGGGGTAGATGTGGAGTTTGCGTGAGAGTGTTTACAGGGTCCTGAAGGAGCGCGCCTTCCTAAATACGATGCCCTCACTGGACTCACATGTCTTGAACCACGTGCTTGTAGACCACCTCTCGCCTGATCTGAGGGGTCATGGTCAATTTGATAAAGGAGACCTTGGGCGCTCCCAGCCAGCCCAGCAGGCACCGGTAAAGGGGATGGTTTCCGAAGGGGATCAAGTCGCGCAGCTCCCAGAAGATGGAGCGAGTGAAACGGTGGTGGTAGTGTCGGACAGGGATATACTCGTCGAAGGGGCCCTTGTTCGTCAACGCTTCCTCCACGTGCAAGTAGTACCAGGGCTTCCAAAAATGGTTGACGCCGTTCACTTTCCTCCGCTTCTCGGGGCTGTCCACGTCCGCAAACTCCCCGACCTGGATCACGCTCGTCTCCTTGCTATACACCGTCGCCTCCAAGAATTCTGGGGGGTTCTTCGCCTCGCTCAAAGCCTTCATCTGTGAGCAAAGCTCCTCTTGGGTGTGGCACGGCAGGTAGCGCACGTGGACGTAGGGCTTTATCGGGATGATCTTCAGCTCCACCGCCACCAGGAAGCCCAAGGTCCCATGCGACCAGGGCAAGGCGTAGAAAAGGTCAGGGTTGCTCTCGCGCGTGACGCGGAGAAGCTCTCCGTGGGAGGTGACGATTTCGAAGGCGAGGACGGTCTCCTGCAAGAGCCCGAAGCGGTGCGAGTTCGTCTCCATGCCTAGCCCCATGCAGAGCCCTCCGATCGTCAGGGACTCCATCTCCACCTGGATGGCGAGCTGGTACCCCAGGGGAACCAAGGTGCGGGTCATGTAGCGCATGTCCACCAGCGGCTCGGTGCGAACGAACCCCTTCTCCACATCCACGCGCAGGATGTCGCGGAGGCAGCACTCGATTTTGCTGCAGTCCTCTTTGAAGGTGGCGGTGCGCGTCGACCTTGAAATTGCGGTGGAAAGACAATCAGTGCCCTGTATTGTTCATTCTGATTCGCTGGATCGCATCGGACCCCCAAAAAAGAACACTTGGTCTATAATATCCAGGCCCCGATCCACGCGAAATTCTATCTAAGTGCACGCTTACATGGTCAGCCACGACGCCCGAGCCGTGCACATGGTCCTCTTGCCTCGCAATCCTGCAGCATTCCAGCGCCTCACTTGCTTCTGCACGTGCCGGACCCGGGCGTCGTGGAGTCTGGGCGCGACCTGGAACGTGCGGTAGAACCAGTCCCGCACCTCGAAGTACTGCTCGAACGCGAATGACAGAGGGAGGACGACCATGACCATGACCACGCCGCGATACTCCGTCATCCATTCCATCCAGAATCTAGTAAAAGGATCCATGCCTCTTTTACTTTTTACTTTCCCCTTCGCGACACGGGCTTTCACCCCCAAAGGAAGCGCAACAATGCTGGCAAGGCACACTCCTCCCAACGTCAGTAAGGCGGGATATAAGAGTGAGCGCCTGTGGAAGAATAATGAGGCATGATGATCCGCAGTCTGCATTGGTCAGAGCCTTATCTGCATCACGCTGGGCGCTCAGGTTGAACCACTCGGCGGCCGGCACGATGCGCCGAGGGTTCCGGGGTGTGAAGACAATGTCGGAAGCTACTTACCCGTTCCTCTGCATTGCCAATGTCGTGATGCCCTCTTTCACAGTAAGACTTTCCCGCCACCAGCAGTAAGTAAGTGATGAGGAGTTGGAGGCTCTGTAACACGTGGATGCCGACGGATGAGAAGCTGGTATGTCCCCACTGAAAGGCCGCTACCCCTAGGAGGCTTGGAAATATGGAAAGACAACACCCATAGCGCGCGGCATTTCAGATTGATCGACGGAGGACGAGCCGGTCGCCGTCAGATTTTTTTGTCTGGTAACCACGATTCTTTGCTGGGCATGTGCCAAGCTAAATGAGAGTGAGGGGTACTCATCGCGATACCATTCCAGCCGCAGCGTGTCCCCTACCAAGGTATCATACCCTGCTGCCGCCTGCGACGCCTTCAAGAACAAAAAACTGACGCAAGCATACACACAGGGGGAAAAGCCGCGCCAGAATGCCTCCCCCAGTATCAGCCAGTGTGCTCAAAAGCCTTAAAAAGGCCAGCATCGAGGCTCTTAAGTCTCCGAGTGCCCCGTCGAAGCCTCAGGACTCTCCCCGGGATGACCTCGACTTGCTCCCCCAACATTTTCAGCAGTTCCAGGACCGGGCGTATTGGGACGCTTTCTTCCGGGAACGCAAACAGCGGGCTTTCGAATGGTATGGAACTTATAATGATTTGCGTCCCTTTGTTGCGAAAACGGTAGAGGGTTGGCGTGCAGGGAGGAAACGCGAGCGCGCGCTAGTGATCGGCTGCGGTAACTCGGACTTCTCGGCCGATTTGTACCAGGAAGGAGGCTTTCAACGGATAGTCAACGTCGATTTCAGTGCGTCGGTTATCGAGGAGATGCGATGCAAGACGCGAGAGTCGTGCCCTGAGATGGAGTGGGAAGTCATGGACGTGACGGCGGGCTTGGCGGAAGGCCTGGGGAGGGGCAGCTTCGACGTGGTTCTGGACAAGGGCACATTGGACGCTATTTTCAGTACCCCAGAGAGCGAGTGTCACGCAGACATGATGATGGACGAGGTCGAGGACGTGCTCTCGCCGAATGGGCGGTACATGGTCGTGACTTTGGGGCAGGACTTTATATTGGGCAAGCTCCTGGAACGCTTCGGTGGTTCAAGGTCAGGGGATTGGCGCCTCTCTTTGCATGCCGTTGAGGATCCTGAAGCCGCCTCGCCATTTTTAATCATTGTCGGAGTAGCGTCTCGCGGTCAAGCTGGGGAGGGCGACGGAAAGAGGATATCCGTGCATTTTGACGACGCGGGGCGCCGCCTGGCTGACGACAAGGCGAGAACTTTCCGCGCCCCGGACCTCGCCGACGTCCTCTCCCTCGTGAACATGGCACAAGAGCGTGTCGCAGTTAAACATGAACTCCGCGACATCGTTCCCGGGCGTTTTAAGGGCGAGATTCACATCTGGCTGGCACCGAGGAGCACAGACGCGACGTCTGAGATCGTCTCCGCCGCCCCAGACGGACCACGCTACACACTCAGTATCGTGGATCTCGTCCCTCAAAACCCTGCGCCCCTACCCTGTGCCGTTTTCATCATCCCTCAAGGCCGGGAGCACGACTGGCTCTTCTCCACCGCGGACGGGCTCCGGCAAGTCGGGTTGAGCACCGATTACCGCCGCCTGATTTGCGTGCGAATGAATCGGGGCCACGTCTTCCGAGACATGGACGAGGTGAAAACCGAGCTAGGGCCGGTGGTGATAGACTTTGTGCCCGTGGACCGAGACCCCGCGTACATGGTGCCCTATCTGGCGGTGGGGGACTCCATTGGGGCCAGAAGCGCGGTGGTGGCATCCGGGGAGCTGCCGGGCTGTGGCCGGTACTGTGTCGAGGAGGAGGAAGACAAGGACGAAGACGGCAAGGACAGGGGGGCGGTGGTGCGACGGTTAATTTTTTACCGCAACCAGCATGTGATCCAGAGTGAGGTGCGGCTAGTGCCATCGCCGCAGAAGGGCAAGCAAAAGGTCGTCGAAGGCGGCAAGAAGAAAAAGAAGGGCAGCAGTACGAAGAAAGATTGTGCCAGTAGGAATACCTGTCCCTCTGCACAGAACTACGCCGTCGACTGGTCCTACCTGAGTTTTGACTATCATCGCACTATGCTGGGGGGCCTCATTGCGTTGACTTATCCTCACCTCCGTCGGGCCGCGAAAGCTCAAGAACGTCGGCATTGCCTGCTAATCGGCTTGGGCGGCGGGGGGTTGGCACTCTTCGTCCGACACTATGTCCCTTGCCTGGAGGTGACGGTGGTCGAACTGGAAGTGGGCTTAGTAGACGTGGCAAAGGAATGGTTTGGGTTCAGCTGTGGCGGGGAGCAAGGCTTGCGTGTGGATGCAGGGAATGGTCATACACGGGTATTGCTCAACGAAGATGAGTCGTCCACGGAGATGGAACGATGGGATGCGATTATTGTGGATGTGGACAACGCGGACGCCAGCCTGGGTATCTCCTGCCCGGCGCCTGATTTTTTGACCGGGCACTTCTTGGAGTCATGCAGGGCTCGTCTGGTGGACGAGGGCGGTATTCTCATCATGAATGTCGCCGCCCGGTCATCAGACCTACTGGAGGGCTCTATGGAAGCGACCAGAAAGATCTTTGCATCGGGGGAAGTTCACGAAGCCAGGCCCACCGAACAGGACGTGAACCGCGTGTTGTTCGCGCTCAAGACACAGCGTCCCACGAGTGCTAGTAAGCTGTCGCTTGGCGTTCAGACCGAAAAGTGGCTCGATGAATGCTTCCCTGAAAGCAAAAATGTCGACCCTCTGGGTCTTTGCGACTTGAATATTTCGTAGCTGCGAGAGCATGAAGCGGTAAAATAGTTTAAATCTTCCCAGTCAAGCTTTGACAAAAGAACTCATGTAAGCCATGACTTCGAGGCCCGCTAATCCTTCTACTGTCGTCTACTTACTTTGCCTTTTTTTTTTGACGGCGTACAGCTCTATCCTCGCTCAAGTTACCAATAAATTTCAAACAAAAACTTCCCGGGATACCGGCATACACCTATAACCTCCGTGGCACCCAGTTTCTAACTTCCCGAGAAAATTAAAATCCCGCGAGGAAAACACGCTCGACATGCTGCGGATCGCCTCGATTTCCTACTCATGTATGTTGTCGGATGCCATAAGTCCTTGAACGTCGATTAAGCCGTTACTTTCCAAGTTCTCCTGGTTTTGAAGTTGGATACAACCGACTTACGCTTCTCAAAGCCAGCAGCCTCCGCAGCCGCCAGACTTCCTTCTGTCATCCCACCTTCACCATCCTCCTTCATGAGTCTACCCCAAGCCCTTCTCTACCAAACATCTTGGACAAGTCTTCAGTTGAGAGCCACATTTCATCAATACAAAATCATGCTACTTTACCGTGTTAAGCGATAGCCTTCAACACGAGTCCGCAGTATCCGATTTGCGACGGATCGATGGCGCCTATCACCAGGACCGATACCATCTCCTCAATTCGTTGTTTTGTGTGTCTCACACCACGTACGAGCATTTTGAAACATACGGAGCCAGGGTCCAACCCCGCTCCTCATTCCCTTCTCTTCCCACTCACGCGGCAAGTACGGCCACTGCCAACCAAGATAGCATCTCTCCGGATGAGGCATCATGGCCAAGTGCCGTCCGTCCTCCGAGCAGAGTGCAGCGATGCCCAGGGGCGAGCCGTTAGGGTTGAAAGGATAGACTTCCGTAGGATTGTTGTCGTCGTCAACATATTTCATAGGCGCCAATTGCTTGGCTACCACGAAATCCTGCGTCTCATGCGTGGAGAAATGCACACGTCCCTCCCCATGCGCCACCCACACCCCCAAGGACGACCCCGCCATGCCGGCGAACATGATGGCAGCGGACGGCTGAATTTGCACGGAGCTGAACCGCGACTCGAAGCGAGCAGAATTATTCTCGATGAAGCGAGGCTGGGCCGCCTCCGCCACATTGTGGTCAGGGTAAGGCACCCACCCAAGCAGGGCCATGAGCTGACAACCATTACACACTCCCAAGGAAAAGGTGTCCGGACGAGCTTTGAAGGCCTCTAATTGTGCCAGCACACTCGGGTTATACTTCAAGACTGCCGCCCAGCCTTTGGCCGAGTCCAAGACGTCTGCATAAGAAAAGCCACCCACAAAAACTATGCCTTGAAAGGCATCCAACGCTACAGTCTCCGCCAATAAGTCGTTCACATGCACATCAAAAACTTCAAACCCAGCAGCATGAAAAGCCGAAATCATCTCCCGATCGCCGTTGCTCCCCTCCTGTCGGATAACGGCCACCTTTGGCTTATTGGACGCCTCCATCAACGCAACGGGCGTAGGCGCTGGTGAGTACGTGAGATGCCACGTGGGCCCCGTACGAGAGGCAAGGCCCTCGTGCTCCTGGATCGCACATTCCGGATTGCACTGTAGCTTTTCCAGCTCGAACCCTGTGGCTTCCCACACGTCTCGGAGCACGGGCATACTCGCGTCTACCACCGTCTCTCCGTCAACACGCACCACGCATTTCTTCTCACTCGTCGATTTCCCAATCACGGAGGATGCCAGCCCCTGCGCTGCATAAGCGGCGGCCACGCCGTCCGCAGCAGCCGTCGGGACTTCAAGGACGATGCCAACCTCCTCATTGAAGAGGGTGGCCAGTGCCGTATGCTCGACCCCTGCGGGTAAAGTCAAGTCAACGTCAATGCCGCAGTTTCCAGCGAAAGCCATCTCCAACAGGACCGTGATCAAGCCACCGTCGGATCGGTCGTGCCCGGCGAGCAGAGCTCTGTCTTCAATCAGCTGCTGGGTGACGGTGAACAAGGAAACCAGCTTCGCGGGGTCCTCCACGTCCGGCGATTGATCGCCCAGCTGGTTGTAGACTTGTGCCAGGGCGGTTCCTCCGAGCCTGGCCTTGCTGGCATCGAGCTCCACGAAAACCAAAGAGCTCTCGTCGGGGCGTTTGAGGTCAGGGGTCACGGTCTTGGTGATGTCGCTCACAGTGCAGTAGGCGGGGACGGTCAGGTTGCCAGGAGACTTGACGACCTCGCTTTCCACCCGCGCGGCCATGGACAAGGAGTCCTTGCCGCCGTCGATGCCCACGCCCATCGCGATCAGAATATCACGCAGGGCCTTGCAGCAGTCGTACATCTTGGGACCTTCACCTTCAAACTTGGCGGCCCACATCCAGTTCCCCGCCACTTTAATGTCCGTCAGGGAGGAAAGCTTGGCCCACATGATGTTCGTGATGGTCTCTGCCACCGTCATGCGCGCCATGGCCGCGGGATCGATGAGCCCTTTGATGGGTTGCTCGCCGCACGTGATGGCGGCGCCCGTTGTGGAGAGGTGACTCTGAGCCAGAACGGCCACATTCGCCAACGGGATGTGTAGGGGCCCGACGCACTGTTGCTGTGCCACCAGTCCCGTCACGGATCGATCCACTTTATTGGTCAAAAAGCGCTTGCATCCGACGGCGAGCAGGCGCAGAACGCGGTCCAGGGCTGCCTCTGCGGTCAACCCGTCGGGGAGCGCGAGCGGGCGGAGGGGCATGGGCACGCGGATCATGGGAAACTCCTTTTGCGGCATTTTCCCCAGAACCAAATCCAGTGGCAGGTCCACCACCGTGGTCCCGGTCTTCGAGTCCTCCACCACCACCCGTCCGTCCTCCGTCACCTCGCCCACCGCCGCAATGGTGCAGTTCTCCCGCTTGGCGAAGGCCAACACCATGGGCAAATCCTCCTTCGTGGTCAAGAAGCAGTCGTTCTCCTGATACTCCGCTCCCCAAATCTCCAACGCCGAGAGCGTGGGGTCACCCAGAGGAATTTTCCGCAGGTCATAAGACGCACCCAGGGGCTCCACAATCTCCTTTAGCACGTTCCCATTCCCTCCCGCGCCTTGGTCATGTATAGAAACGATAGGATTTCTCTCTGCCAGCTCGATGCAGGAGCGAAGAACTCTGTTCAGCTTGTTCTCCATCTCCGCCATGCCGTTGAGGATCCTGAAGCCGCCTCGCCATTTTTAATCATTGTC